TATTTATATTTGAGTTAGAACTCATACTTTGTGTCCAAGTATTGGCTTAGAAAGATGTAAGCCGGTAGGGCATTTACTTTGATGTTACATGTAATGCTTTTGTTTAGTAAGACTCTGATGGATATTATAATGAATTATTAAAGTGTTTTCTTTAAATAATGCATGTCAATGATATATATAATGGCTATATTTTTTAGGGCGTTACATTTAACCTCCATAATATGATATTACTAATTGGTACAATATATATGAAAAGTGATGTTTGTTGGAAATTTTGGAAAATAATATAGGTTAGTTTTTTTTTTTTTTTTTTTTTGTGATGATTTTCAAACATTCTTTGTTTTATAGAAAGCTCTTAGGTCTTGATGGCTAGTTTCACGTAAAAAATATGAGAGAAAAGTAATGGCTTAATAAACATTCATGTGAAATATTTCCTTTAGTAAGGAACTATGGGTAGCAGGGGCGTTCGTAGTTCGATTGTGGTTGGAAAACTTTTAATTTGTCATTTGTTTAAAAAAAATTAATCCACATCCGCCTACCAGATTAACGGATGCGGATTAGAGGATGGATACAAATCGATATGACAGTTTAAATTTTTATAAATTTTGAACACAATACAACATAACATTTTTTTTAAGATAACAATCCAACTTAACATAATTAAAAAATTATCAAGTAAATTATTAAATCCCAATAATAAATATATATAAGAAAATCATGCATTATCAAAACTATTTCATTACTATTTTTAAATAAAATAACAAAATTAAGCCTTATATTTTTCACACAAAAATATCAAATATCAACATTTGACATTTGATAAAAGGATTTTCAAATTGAAAATACAACAGAATATCTATACTATTTTTCAATTGAAAACACAAACAGAATATCTAAATAAATTAAAAACACAAAATTTTACAAATTACTATAGGTGCTCGCGATTTAGCAATTGTGACCAAAAGAATTTTAAATCCGCCTTTCAAAATTACACAGATTAAAAAAAATCAATCTGTAACTATCCACTCGTCATCTTATATCCGTCTAAAATGCGACGAATTAATTCAATTTAATTAATTTAGATGAATTAAAATATCCGTTGAACACTAATGGAATAGAATGGTAGAGTAAATTCACACATCACGACCATTTGCATGTGCCATGGATGCATTGGTTTTGATCGGGTGTGTCCACTCGTTACACTCATTTGGTGCAAGCCAAGATCCTCACTATCAAAGTCTGTAGTTGTTTGGAATGTACTATATAAGTGCACTTTTTAATTTTTTGGTTAAAAAAGTAAAGAAAAAGAGATGTATATTTGGGATAACTTTTTAAATTTTTACAAAAAGATATGTAATAAAATATTATAATAAAATCAAAATGACCATTTTACCCTTTTGAATTTTTGACTTTTAATTTTTAGACTTTTGGATAGTTGAATTCAAAGGGCAAAATAATAATTTTGCCCTAGTGGCTTCACTCACAAATTACCCTTGAATAGAATAAACTTTTTAACTTTTTTAAAAGATGTTTAGGATGTTCTAAATAAATACAATTTTTGAATTTTTTTTAAAAAATATGTAGAAAAGTAAAGAAAGTGGGTAAAAAAGTGAAAGGAGATGTTGATGAATGTTGATTGATGTGACCCAAATAAGCGTGTATGCAAAAAAAATGTACTTTTTTAGTACATACCAAACAAGCACTTAGGCCTCGTTCGAGAATATGCTATTTTAATAACTTTTTGACTTTTTGGCTAAAATATAGGTAAAAAATTAGTATATTTGGAGTGACTTTTTGATTTTTTACGAAAAGATGTGCAAAAAGTAGAGAGAAAATAAAATCTTTAACTTTTTAGTATAGATTATAGGTTTTTTGACTTTTTTAGTAACTTTTTTACTTTTTGGCTAAAATATTAACTTGCCAAACGAGGTCTAAGTAACTTTTTAATTTTTTGATTTTTTTAACTTATTCCAAAGAAGGCCTAAATCTAATCCAATGATCAAATTTAAGCCCTAGTTGATTAGGTGCGATTAAGGTGAGGACCATTCTGATAAAGTGTTTGTGATTATGTCATTCCATTCATTCCAACATTCAGAATTTGTGTCTAGTCATTACATTCATTTGATGTGCAGCTCCGTTACGTAGCTCGAATCCTCATTGGCTCGAGTGGCCCGAATTTTGTTTTTCCACTTAACTTTCTACTGTTGTGCTCAATACACCCACACATTTCATTTTCTCTCTCTCTCTTTCTTTCTCTCATCACTGTCTTTTTCCTTCATTTTCTTCATCTTCTCTCTCTCTCTCTCTCTCTCTCTCTCTCTCTTTCATTACTGTTTTCCTTCATCTTTTTCCTTTGCTCTCCCTCTCTCTCTCTCTCTCTCTCATCACTATCTTCAATCTTCTTCTCTCCCTCTCATCACATACATATATACATACATACATACAGACTCAAATAAAATCAAATATATGTAAAATAAGTTGAAAATTCTCCAAAATTAAGCATCAAAAATCCCAAACCAAACCCTACCCACAAATCCATCAAATGATGCAACCTTGCACTCAATCTGCACCATCTGCCTAATCTCCTCCTCCACCATCATTCTTTTCATTAGGTCATTGATTCTAATATTGAATGGCTATTTTGGGTCTTTGTATTTCATATACTCTGCTTCTTCTGTAATACCAACCTACAAGCTTAATAACACCACCACAAACCGAATCATGATGGGTATTGAAAATCTCCCTATTTGGTGTCTCAAATCAACTATTTCTCTGCCTTCAAATTTGAAAAATCATAGCACAACCACAAAGTCTGTAAGTTCAAATCAGAGAGAGAGAGAGAAAGAGAGTAACTAACCATGAAATAAGACAAAACAATGATGTTCTGAATAACAAGCCATTGAAGTCCATATCCGAAGAGACCTATTAAAGTCCAGATCTCCTTCTCCTTCTCTCATTTTCTTCTTCTTGTGTTTTAAAGAGAAAACAGAAGGGGAAGAGAAAAAAAGAAGAAAACAAAAAATTACCTAAAACGATATCGTTTTAGGCAATCGAACCATTCAAGCCAAAGACATTTCGAACTATGAAACATTTCTCTTTAATTTGAGACAAGATCCTCACCAACAAAGCTTGATCGAATTGTCAAATCTAAGTCCTAGCTAATTAGGTGTGATTAACGGTCGACAAGATCCTCACCATCAAAACCTGATCCAATTGTCAAATCTGAGTCCTAGCTAATTAGGTGTGATCAGGGGTCACGATCTTTCCGATTAGGTAATCATGCCATTTCATTCATTCCAATGCCCGGATTTCACAAGCAAATTTTTTTTTGACCTTGGAATTCAAAAGCAAATTTGAGAGTCAATTTTTTGCTCTTACTTGATTTCAAATTTGTCTGGTGAGGGAAAAATTGTCTTTAAGAAAGTGAAGAAAAATATTCATTCGATATAGTTTCAGTTTTTAAAATTTATTTTTTTAAAAATTTTATTTTTTTATTTTTCATATTTTTTTTTCACTGAATTTTTTAATATTTTAAGTAATTTTTTTTAAAAACATTTTTAGACATATCTAACATAAATACACTTAAAAAGTATAATATTTGTAATTTTTTTAAAAAAAATCATTAAATACCAAAAATATAAAAAATATATAAAAATTCAATACATTTTTTATATTTTTGTGTATTTATTAATTTTTTAAAATATTTTTTACCAATATTTTACTATTTAAATACATCTAAGTAATGTTAGGGCTAAGTAAAGAATCCGTGAAATCCGTAATCCAATCCGATCTAGTCCAATCAGGTAGGTTTGGATTGATTTTTTGAATCTATGATTCAGTTCCGGATTGAAAAATTAAAAATTCGTAGTCTATATTTATATTATACACCCTTCCGCATAGTATCTTCTCTTATTGAACTCCACAGTTTCGAATTGGAACCGATCCAGACCGTATACAAATAGCCTATATTTATATTATACACCCTTCCGCATAGTATCTTCTCTTATTCCATATAAAACCTAAACCCAAACCTAAACTCGCAGAATATCTTCTTTTACTGCTTTTGTTTATTAGTTTTTAATTTTAATTTGTAATGGTCTAAATACTTATGGTGAAACTAGTTTTCTTATGATTGTTTAAATTTTAGGACAGTATGTCATTATTATGGAAAGACATATTACTATTGTGGAACTAATATGATACTATGTTTATGTTTTCATGAAATTAAAATTTTCTATATTCTTTTTTGGTTATTTAATTATGTGAATCCGTGGTCCTAAACTGATCAAATCTGTGTTTAAATGGATTGGTTCAGATTGGTTCTACGATTTAAACGGATTTGATTGATTCTAATTTTTCAGGAATCGTAGGTAACGTATTGGTCTTAATTTTTTCTCAATCCGGATCATGCTCACCCCTAAGTAAGGTGCATCTAAAAAAATATAAAAATTACTTAAAATTTTAAAAATATTCATTGAAAATAAAAAAAATACGAAAAACAAAAAATTTAATTTTCAAAAAATTAAATTCTACATTGATTATTTTCAAAAAAGTTATATTAGTAACGTGACTTGAAGGGTTTATGGTTCAAATCAATGTTTGACAGAAGTATTCACAGTGACATCATTATCCTGGTTGGCAATGATGGATCCGTGGGTGTGGATGGGTGCATCTAGGGATGACAATTTAAACTTGTTCCCACCGGGATCCGATCTCCCGATCCCAATTAGAACGGGTTTTTCTTGAAAATTATCCCCATAAAGTTGGGGATTGTATTAAAAATTAAAATCTCCGATGATTTTCGGGTCGAGGACGGGGATAGATTCCCCCGGCCCCGGTCCCGGTCTCGACCCGGCCTCCGCCCGAGCAATCCCTGTATAATCCCCCGATTATATATATATATATATATATATGTTTAGGTTATATATATATATTTAGGTTACTTTTGAGACTTTACACTCAGCTCTCTTCTCCACTCACACTCCACCTCTCTTCTCTTTCCCTCTCTCTCTCCCCTTCTCTCTCTCTATGCTGCGGTGCTCACGGCGTCTCTCAGACTCTCTCCCTCTCTGTCTCTCTTTCTATGCTGCGGTGCTCACGGCGTCGGCGTCGGCGTCTCCTCCTCTCTTTCTCACCGACGTCACTCCTCCCTCACAACGTCATGGCGGCGGCTCCTCTCCTCTTTCTCACTGGCGGTGGCTCCTCTCTTTATCACGGTATGTCCCCTCTCTCTCTCTCTCACGGTATCATCTCCTCCTCCTCCTCTCTCATGGTATCTCCTCTCTAGTTACTTTTTCTCTCTCTCTCTCTCTCTCTCTCCCTCTCTCTCTCTTTCTCTCTCTCTCTGTTTTTTGATTTTGTTCTTCAGATCTAGAAGTTCTGGTCACCGCTGCCAAGATTCAAGTTGAGGAGTGAGAGACGAATCTGGTGTATGCTATGGTTTCACCATTTCAACTGTTGAATCTGTCGAATAAATAAGCTAGGAGTGAAGAGACGACTTTAGGTGTGTTGTTGTTGATGATCCTCAGATCTGGAGCTGAATATATATGTTATATCTGTTGTTCTTGTTAAATATATTCTTAAATCTGTTGTTGTTGTTGTTGTTCATGAGTATTAAATCTATTGTTAAATCTGTTATTGAATATCTGATTTGAAGCTGAATTTTTTTTTTTTGGCCGGGGACTTTTCAGGGTCGGGGAAACCCAATCCCCGTTGAGGGGCAGGGGCAGTGATAGGTTCCCCGTTGGGGATTGGGGCCGAGGACCTTTTCACAATCAGAGATTGGGAACGGGGAGTGTGATCCCCGGCCCGGCCCGGCCCCGTCCCGTTGCCATTCCTACAAATTCGCCCCGCTACGCACCTCTAAATTTTTTTAAAAATTATATATATTATATTAGTAATTAGTAAGATAATTTTAAATTAGAGTATTTATACCCTCAAAATTCAATAGTTCGTACCTTCCAAATTATTTATATTAAAAATTTTGAAAAATAATTTCTAAATTGAGTTTATTCTATTTGTTATTTGTATTATTTGTTATGTTTATATATTGTTTAGAATTGCTTATATTCTTTTATTTGTTACTATTTTTGTTTTTTTTTTGTTCATATGTCATTTATATATTTTTTTTCTTCTTTTATAAATCACACTTATATCTAATTATATTTTTGTTCTCAATTATATTGACAAAAAATATCTGATTAATAATATTATTCACTTTTTTGTGTTGATATAAATAAAAATCTGAAATTTTATAATAATTTATTTTGATAAAAAGTTATATGTGTTCTTAACCCTCACAACTAAAATCGTTGACCAGTCATCGATTGGTGCAACCAGTCCTTATCGGTTGGTTTGCACCAACAAGGTTGATTGTATCAATGCAAAGATGGTATTATTTGGTATGTAACTCTAGATTTAAAATTTAAGGCATGGCTAATAACACCCATATAATAATCTCTTCGAATCAACATCAATTAATTTTAGATTTTGTAAAAATTTTGCACTTTACTTAATACAAAAATTATGGGGTATGTATTTATAAACATATTTTTACTTATTTATATTTTACTTAATTGAGATTATTTTTTTATATTTTAACAAGTTTTATAGGTGACATAATTATCAAAATATCCATAATAATAATAACATTCGCATTAACAGTGTGAATATTTTGTAATATCACATTGTAAAATATGAATGTTCATATCACCAAATCGCTAAGCGTTCAAAAATATTGTTAAGAATAAAATTATTTATAAAATACCTTAAATATGATAATTAAGATTTATCCAATTAAATATCCAAATAATAAAATTTATTAAAATATTGAATATGCTATGAATTAATTGAGATACAAGTATTTTTTTAAAAAAAAATTCCTAATAAATTCTTCAAAAATTAATCCCCACTCTCTTAAACCTTACCCTTACCTGACTCCGGCCACTCCTGACGTCACCACTAGCCCTTCCTCTACCCTCACCACCAATTCCAACTACAAATGGCAATACTCCTTCCATTCCCTTCCAATTATATTTATTAAATATATTTATTTATATATAATATATATATAATTTAATATTTTAGTATAATAAAATTAAAATGCTAAAATTTTACACTTAACATTTATTTTCACTCATTTATTTCTCCTATTATATCTTTTAAATCTTATTAATCACAAATAATTATTTATAATATAATACAATTTGTAGTAAAATTCTCATTCTTAAATAAAAATATCTTGCCCGTGATATGATATGAAACAGGCGCAATGCACCGCACATCTGTCCTATTGCCATCTCCATACCAGTCCATCGTTTTCCTTCCCAACGAGCCCCACCCCTTCCACTTTTTCAAAATTAGTATCCAACATTTTCCAAAATTATAATAATAATCTTTTAATAATTGGATATCTAAATAACAAATTTAATGTGATAAAATACTTTTTTTTTTTTACCCCTGTTAACATATATATTATATTATACATTATAGTGCCTTTTGTATATATTATACTATGCATTGTAGTGCCTTTGTAGGCTGTAATTGTAGTGCCTTTGTAGGCTGTAAAGAATTCACCCACTACCACCTTCAGACGCCTTTGCATTATCTTAATGTATATTTGTATGCTTTCGGTGAGCCAGTATTCCAACTGTCTCCTTCTCCTCTCTATAAAGAGAGCGAACTTATTCTCTTGTAAAGACATAAACATAATAACAGACAGTGATTATACAGTCTCTCTCTTTTCTCTCTCTTTTCTCTCTTTCTCCTTAACAATCTTTCAACCCCAAAACTCACGACGTTCTTAGTGAAGTCCTCAAGAAGTCCATGAGCACTATGACACTTTTAAAATTTGGACAAAATATTTTTAAATTTAGTATGAGTTTGAGTAAAAATTTAAAAACATAAATTAAATTTGAACAAGTTTAGACGTCAAATAACTTGCATAACTCAAAACTCGAATTATATATAAATATATTAAATATATATATAAAAATTATTTATCATTGAATGATATAAAAGTAATTTAAATCGTTAGAACATATATAATATACATAATTAACACAATATAAAATCTTTTTTTTTTTTTTACTCCCCACTCATAAATTGTAAAAACTACTATAGCGACATCTCTATTACATTATATAATTTTTTTTGTTTTTTTTGTTTTAATGTTATTAATGATTTTATAAAAAGGGCAAAAAAAATAAAGTCTATTTTTAACAAATTAATTAACTTAGGTAAACTAAAAAAAAAAAATCTGAAATTTATGTACAATTGGGACAATTCAAATTTAACTTGAGTTGAGTTTAGACAAACAATCTAGAGTTATAATTTAGGCTTGAGCAAGCCTAAACAACTCTCAACATAACTTGACTAAGCTTGAATAAGCTCTCAACCCGTCCAAACCTACCCAAGTTGCACCTCTAAAAATGCAATCAAACTAACTTATTTTTCATTGTTATACAACTAGATAGCGTTTTGTTAATCAAAATGAAATAGAATGAAATAATTCTTGTATAAAAAATATTCTATTTCCATGTTTAGATGTATGTAAAAAACAAAATAAAAATTATAAATAAAATTATCATTCATTATTATAATGGAATAATTATTTTATAAAAGAATATAAACTCATTTCAATGAACAAAATACAGAGCATTAGTCTTATTGTTGGCTCTCGAAATTACAAACTAAAAATGTTAAAAACAAAATTACAAAGTAAAAATGTTAAAAACAGTTCTTACACTTTGTTTGGTAACGTAGGAGAAATAAAGAAAATAAATGTTTACCAAAGTTAGAGAGATAAGAAAAGAAGATAAAACATATAACAATTTTTTCAAAATAAATTTCATAAATCATATAACTATAATTATTGATATAATTTATTTATTTTTATTGTCACAGATTTAAAAAATGAACCAATCAAATTATAAAAAATAAAAAAAATAAAAGATAATATACTTACATAATTTATAAACGTAATTCTCAACCAAAATGATATAACAATAATATTTTTTAAAAGTATAAATCATTTTCATAAATTTTGTTTTAAGGTGAAAATCAAAACTTATAAAATAATTTATATTGATTTTCTGTATAATTATTTTACTTATATAACACTATTCCATTAAAATAGGCCTTGTGATGGCAAGTAAGAAGCAAAGTTGTCAAATTATTTTTTTTTAGTAAATTATAAATATACTTTTTAAAATTTATTTAAAATATAAATTACTTTTTATGATTACAAACACGACAAACTATCCTTATCAAAAGTTATAATAGAATTAACAAAAATAAAAAAATAATCTTAACTATCCCCTTATATGACAGTGAAATTATTAAAATTGTTAATTAAGATATACTACTAACATCATTAACCATGATTAATTAATTTAATGATTGATTGATGAAATAAATTACTAACATCATTAAACATGATTAATTAATTTAATGATTGATTGATGAAATAAATTATTTGTTATACGATTATAATGTAATTTTTAAAATTACAAGAAATAACTTAGTCTGTTTGGTTTTAATTTTTTGAATTTAATTTTTTTTGAAAATTGAGTCTTTTATTTTTCATTTATTTATTTATTTATTTTTGGTGAATATTTTTAAAATTTTAAGTAATTTTTTTTGTTTTTTTAGATATACCTTACTTAGATGTATGTGCATCTAAAAAATAAAATATTTGAAAAAAAATCAATAAATACACAAGAATACAAAAAATGTACTGTATTCTCGTTAATTTTTTATATATTTTTAGTAATTAATGAATTTTCTATTTTTTTTTCACAAGTATTATATTTTTTAAGTATATTTATGTTAAGTATATTTAAAAATTAAAAAATTGTGTAGAATATTAAAAAAATTCAATAAAAATAAAAAAAAATAGAAAACAAAAAATTATTTTGAAAATGGATCTTGAAAATTCAAACCAAACAATCTAATTAATATTTTAAACAAACTACAGGTTGTAATTGTAATTTATTTATTTATATATTGAAGAGATCAGAGAAAGAATCCATATCATTTCAGTTCAGTGGCATCATTTTATTGGCCATCGGCCAAAGTTGTCTATGTGGATATTTGAAAAGTTGTTATTTTAGTAAGGTATTTTTTTTTTTTTTACTATTTTAATAGCTTAAAATTTTTATATTTGAAAAAGTATTTAAATTTTTTTATAATTTAATGTGATATTTGTAAAAGAAAAAATAAAATAATTATAAATGTAATATAATATAATATTTTATTATATATATATATTTTGACTAAAAAGACCAAAACACCCCAATATGGCGTATTATAAGACTACACACCTTTGAACTTCGAAAAATTTGCTGTTAGTGTTACATTACATTTCATGGTGCTTCCCATAGCAATCCAACCATCTCGCCGCCCCGCCGCCTGACCTCCGCCGCCGCAGGCTTCTCACTGGAAAACAAAAAAAAGCCACCACCCAAAACCCACCTCTCCAAAAATGTCAAAAATTCCTCTCTCCATACTCTCTCTCCTCTTCCTCATCCTCCCCTTCCATGGAACCTCCCAAACTACTACTTCTAATTCAGAACAATCAATCTTATTGAAACTGAAACAACACTGGTCTGACACAACACCCATCAACCACTGGAACTCAACCTCTACCCACTGTGATTGGCCTGAGATCACCTGCACCAACGGCTCGGTCACCGGACTTTCACTTGTCAATACAAACATCACTGGAACAGTACCTCCCTTCATTTGTGACCTCCTAAACCTTACCCTCATTGACCTTCAATACAATTACTTTTCCGGGCCATTCCCAACCGGTCTCTACAACTGTTCCAAGCTCAAAATCCTTGACCTCTCACAAAACAACTTCACCGGTCCAATTCCCAGCGACATCGACCGGTTGTCAGCTCAGCTCCAGTCTCTCAACCTCGGTGGCAACATCTTCACCGGCGACATTCCCGCAGCAATTGGGAAGTTCCCGGAGCTGAGAATTCTCCGCGTTTTTCTAAATGGGTTCAACGGCTCTTTCCCGTCAGAAATCGGTAACTTGTTGAATCTTGAACTACTGGAGATGTCTTTTAATAATTTCTCACAGATGGCTATACCTTCGAGCTTTACCCAGTTGAAGAAACTGAAAGAATTGCATATGAAAGAATCAGGGTTGGTGGGAGAAATTCCGGAAACAATTGGGAATTTGACGGCGCTTGAGGTCCTTGAACTGTCAATAAATAGCTTGACTGGTAACATTCCAAGGGGTTTGTTCTTGTTGAACAATTTAACAATTCTGTATCTTTTCAGAAATCAGTTGTCCGGGGCAATTCCTCAGGTGGTTGAAGCTTTGAATTTGGTCAAAATCGATCTATCCAACAACAACTTAAACGGAACAATACCTGATGATTTTGGAAAATTGACAAAATTGTCGGATTTGGATCTATTTTTCAATCAATTATCCGGTGAGCTACCGGCAAGTATTGGCCGCCTTCCCTCCTTGGAAGTCGTTAAATTGTTTAACAATAACCTCTCAGGGCTACTTCCACCGGACTTGGGAAAATACTCGATGCTCAAAGAGTTTCAGGTCCCTTCAAACCATTTTACTGGTAACTTGCCGGAGTACTTGTGCGCTAATGGGGCATTGATCGGAGTTGTAGCTTTTGACAACGATCTAACAGGCGAACTGCCAAATTCACTTGGGAATTGCAGGAGCTTATTGGTTGTACAAGTCAATGGAAATCGACTTTCTGGAAGCATTCCATCTGGTTTGTGGACATCAATCAATGTGATAACCTTGATTCTCAATGACAATTCGTTTTCCGGTCAGCTTCCCGATCAATTAGCTTCTAATTTGTCACGGATCGAGATTAGTAACAACATATTTTCCGGTGAAATCCCCGCTGGAGTGTCATCCTCGAAGGCTTTGACGGTGTTCATTGCAAGAAACAATCGCTTCACTGGTACAATTCCTCAAGGATTGACAGCTCTTCCTCTTTTGACAACTCTGTTGCTTGATGGAAATCAACTTTCTGGGCATCTTCCATCGGATATAATCTCGTGGAATTGGCTGAACACTCTACATCTCAGTCGAAACCAGCTTTCCGGCCCAATTCCTGCCAAAATCGGGTCTTTACCTAGGCTTACTGATTTGGACTTGTCAGGGAACGAGTTCTCGGGTCAAATCCCACCTCAGATTGGCCTTTTGAAGCTACAGTCGCTCAACCTGTCTTCCAATCTTCTCACTGGGACAATACCAGTTGAGTTCGAAAACAAAGCATATGATAACAGCTTCTTGAACAATTCTGGTCTTTGTGCAACTAACCCATCACTACTAGGCATTGATATATGCTCAGGGCCTCAAAACTCCAGCAAAATATCCCCTCAATTTCTCGCTGTGATTGTAAGTACAGCAGCGGCCTTGTTTGCATTGACCATGTTCTTCATGTTCCTCATGGTCAAAACTTATAGGAAAAGAGAGTGTGGATTGGATTCCAAGTGGGAGTTCACTCAATTTCAATTGTTGAATTTCTCAGAGTCGGACATTCTATCCAGTCTGACTGAAAGCAACATGATCGGATCTGGTGGTTCAGGGAAAGTGTACCGTGTAGCTTTGAACCGTTGGGGCAAAGTTGTCGCTGTCAAGAAGACCCGGAATATCAGAAAGCTGGATGAGAAGGTTGAGAAGGAATTCCTAGCAGAAGTTCAAATTCTGGGCACGATTCGCCATTCCAACATAGTGAAATTGCTGTGCTGCATTTCAAGTGAGACTACAAAACTCCTCGTCTATGAGTATATGGAAAATAGCAGCCTGGACCGGTGGCTCCATGGGAAGAACCGGCAGTTGAGTGTCTCGGGTCCAGTCCATCATGCTGTCTTGGACTGGCCTCAGCGGCTTCAAATTGCTGTGGGAACTGCCCGGGGACTGTGCTACATGCACCATGAATGCTCACCTGCAGTAATTCACCGAGACGTGAAATCAAGCAATATTTTGTTGGATTCTAACTTCAATGCAAAGGTTGCAGATTTTGGTCTAGCCAAGATGGTAGTCAAGCATGGAGAGACTAATACAATGTCAATTGTGGCAGGTTCTGTTGGGTACTTAGCACCAGGTAAGTGATTTATTCAATACTCTTGATATTAGGGAAAACCCTTTGGTTGTTACGCATTTTTTTTTGTACATATTACATATTTTCTGTGGCAAATGTTATGTCATCTTATGATAGAGTTAAACGACAATTTGTGGTTTAGAAATGAAAATTGCTATCATTAACATAAAAAATTGTGGTTACAGCAACTTGTGGCACAAAAATGTTTCGATGAAAAAATGCGTAACTTCATTTTTGAACCTCAAATTGTCATAATATTACCAGAAGATTACGTAACATTTTCCAGAAATATGCATTAAAAAATGTATAACAAGGTACATATAGTACACATGAAAGGGTTCCTTGATATAAGCATTACTATTTCATAACCATTTTGTCGAATTCTAAACTATGAATTTGAGTTTCAGAGTATGCTCACACAACAAGAGTGAATGAGAAGATTGATGTGTATAGTTTTGGTGTGGTCCTTCTGGAACTAGTTACTGGAAGGGAAGCCAACAACAATGGGGATGAAGATACTTGCCTTGCCGAATGGGCATGGCGCCACGTTCAAGATGGAAACCCCTTAGTTGATGCCTTGGACGAGGAGGTTAAAGAACCTTGTTACCTGGATGAAATGACTTGTGTCTTCAAGCTCGGGATCATTTGCACGGGCACGTTTCCCTCAACTAGGCCTAACATGAAGGAGGTTCTACAGATCCTGCTCGGCTGTTGCAGCCATCGACCAGAATTAGGAGAGAAAATTGATGGAAGCGAGAATGCTGGTGCTCCTCTCCTCAAGAATTCCAGGCGTGAGAGATTGTTGGACGATGAGGATGATAGTTTGGTGTCCAATGTTTAGTGGCTCTTCACTGCTATTTAAAGAACCTGATTAGCATGATGGGGAGAACAAAGATTCACACATGAGAAATAGTTGTAGCTTAGATTTCTCACAAACATATATCAAGCAATGAGTTTGAGAGAGAGAGAGAGAGAGAGATAGAGAGAGACTGCCTATATCATATGAAAGAGGGGGTAGGAAATGGTTCCTCACCATGATGTTGAATACAATAAAATTCAGAAATGTATAATAACCATAAACTTCATCCTTGAATTTAGGCTCTGTTGATGGTCCTTCAGGCTTTTGATTTTTGTGCAAGCATGAACTCTAAAACCACAACCTGTTTCTTACAAGCATGAACATATTGAGTTGTAACCAAATTAAGAAACACAGTTCATAATATGAGAACCTGCAGCTGTTAGACAGTATATCAAGCACAGTAGCAAAAATGCCAATAGTCCCAGTGCACGAAGCTGCCACCACTGCAGGTGCATGTGGAGAGACTATTTCATGGTTTGAACCCGTGATGCCCAGATTATAATGGAGCAGCCTTTTTTTTTTTTTGTGGGTAAATTATGAAACAAGGCCTATCCTCCATCAACAAAACGAAACAAAAAGAAAAAAACAAATTAACAAAACCTTAATGCTATGATAAGGCCTATCCTCCATTACGTTAAAGGAATGAAATGTGTTTGGTGTAGTAAAATGCAACTACATCTACAGAAGCAGTTCCAGGGTTAAGATTTGCAAACAGGCAATGCCTAAAATTTGACTCTGCTACCAATCCAAATCAGATCTGCTGAAATCCTGTAGTCTGCCTACAACAAAATTGTAACTAGAAAACACCTTCACAAAACACAGATGACAGAAAGAGGAAGCATCCAACGTAACACACCCACGTGCATTTTTCTATTTAAATGAAGTGCACATGCACATGAGATCATATAAGAGTTTCCCTTACACGCTTGGAACTACTGAGCAGAATCTACCAAAAGAAATCTAAAAACTCAACAGGGAGTACAATAACAACTGCAATCTGCCATTTATTATCTATTGCATGAGAAAATGAGGTTACACTAGTATCAACACACGCTTTTCAGCCCTGGAAAAAAAAAAAAAAAAAAGATAAAGCAGGACAAGGCAACAATTGAAAAGCTTGTTTACCCAAACGCTCCATTGCTCTGCAGGAGTGTAAATTAAGGATTTGCTTGTACCATCTCTTGAAGCAGAATTTCCACAAGAAGTTCTGCCAAGAAAGAGGAAAAAGAAAATATACAGAAACAACAAAAAAATGTCAAGCTCATTTAACCAGACTAATCTGCCTTTGACCTTTATTAAGATTCCTCAACCTCTATACTGGGAGTGAGAGGCTGCTACGAGGGCAGTTCCAATGCCAGGGCCATCATTGGAATGGTCAATGAATGGTTTCAGATGCCTTCCCCAGCAACTACTTGAGAGTGCTCTCCATAGAATTTCTGAATTTCGTATGGTGCTCGTACAGCCCAACATTCAATGCCATCACTGGCTTCGGCTTCTCCCTACTGCTCACTCTGTCTCTCCACACTGTCTTTCCCCAATTTCTTGATGATACCTAAAATTCCAGCTGCAGAAAGGCGGGTTCCACAAATGGCGATGATGTCACAGAGCTCAACTATTACTTATCTTGTTTTCAGTGAAGTATTAGATATCTGAAGAAATATGCAAAAAATTTGAACAAATAAACCCTCTTAGGTAACACATTCACACTTTAAGGGTGCCAACCTTAATTGCTTCTAATCAAATAAGCCAACTAATACAATAGAGAGAGAGAGAGAGAGAATTCACCATTACATTTACGGCAACCCACTACAGAGAGAGAAACAGAATTGCTTAGGATGGATGGAACCGAATACGGCTCACATTGATTGTGGAGTATTTTAGTACTCTGAACGAACAACAATGAAAGCGGGGGAGGGAGAACACCGATAGCATTGAAACTCACTAAAGTATATATATATATATATATCCAAATCCAAGTATATTAATATAATTAATTTATCTCCTTTAGTTTTGCAAAAATGACATTTTTTCATGCATTATGCAAATATAACTGAATCATGTGAATCGTAACAAATTGTAGTGAATTGCAAAGAATTGTAATTAAACACAATTGAATCATAAGATTCACTCAATTTAAGATTCAACAACACAAATTGAATCATTTTTTTAGTTGAAATTCGTGTTGAATAGTGCATTATTTGACTCTGATCACAACAAACCCAAGATGCTTTCTAACTACAACCTTGCCAATACTATATTGAAGAAGAAAATATTGCTCATTTTGGTAGACAAAATGGTTTGTATACTCATTGTAAAACAGGTTAGTTTTCATCATGGGCATGGAGCAAGGGATAATGAAGGCTTTCTCAATAACAGTCACTATATCTTCTTCAATTAATTACATAACTGTCAAAATAATTTATCACAGCTAAATCCACACAATCTACCAAAAGAATGCCGTAATGTTTTTTAAAAAAAAAATGTATATATATAAATCAATAACTATTCAAAGCTCTAAATTTTACCCAACATGATAAATTTAATAAGCCTATTAAAAGCAGTTCAAAATTGGCATAATAAAAATATCCCACTTTAATCAATAATTAATAATTATAAACTAAGCGTTATACAATACAAGGAGAATGTAAGAATAGTTGGTAGAGAGAGAGAGAATAAATTGAGTGTATTGAAATATTAAATGTGTGTTTACAGTATGTATACAATGTTCAGAGAGACTCTCTTTTATAGAGGAGGAGAGAGTGTTCAAAGAGACTTTTGGCCGAAAGAACCAAAAGCAGAAGCACAAACCAAACAACATTATTAAGGGTACATTATAAAAGGTTTGGCAGCTAATAGATACAATATACTAATATATACTAACATCCCCCCGCAAACTCAAGGAGGGTAAGCATCAACCAACTTGAGTTTGGATACGAGATCACTAAAGCGACCAGGAGAATGAGCCTTGGTGAAAATATCAGCAGGTTGATCTGCAGAAGCAATAGGGAGAAGAAGAACAATGTCACGTGTAACATGCTGGCGAATGAAGTGACAATCACTCTCAATATGCTTGGTGCGATCATGAAAAACATTATTGTGAGCAATTTGAATGGCACTTTGATTGTCACAATAGAGAGAGGTAGCACCAGAAGAAGAAACACCCATATCAGCAAGGAGCCATTGAAGCCAGATAAGTTCCTGAGTAGTATTAGCAAGAGTTTGGTATTCAGCTTCGGTACTAGAGCGAGCAGTGAGGGATTGTTTTTTGCTGTGCCAAGTAAGAAGAGAATCCCCTAAGAAGAAACAGAAATCGGTGGTGGAGCGTCGATCCGTAGGATCCCCAGCCCAATCAGCATCAGAAAAGGCACACAGTTCAAGAGAGGAGGAAGCAGAGTAGTGAAGTCCATGGAACAGAGTGCCTTTGAGGTAACGAAGCATGCGAAGTAGAGTAGTATAATGTAGAGTGTAAGGAGCCGACATGTACTGACTAACAAGATGAACAGCATAGGCAATGTCAAGACGAGTCACAGTGAGATAGACGAGACTGCCGACGAGCTGGCAATAAAGAGTAGCATCAGAGAGAAGATCCTCATCGAGAGGAATGAGACGAATCTGAGGATCAATTGGAGTAGAGGTAGTTTTGCAATCGGTAAGACCAACACGTACCAGAAGATCGGATGCATATTTGGCTTGGGACAAATAGTAACCAGTGGAATCATGGGAGATTTCAAGCCCTAAGAAGTAGTTAAGAGTACCAAGGTCCTTCATCTCAAACTGACGATGGAGAAAACTTTTGAGACGAAAAATACGAGCTGCATCATCACTAGTGATAATCATATCATCCACATAAAGAAGAAGAAGAGTAGTATCATGAGTAGTAGTCCGAACAAATAAAGCAGAGTCATAGGAGTTAGAGGTGAATCCGAAGTCATGAATGGTGGAACTGAACTTAGCAAACCAAGCGCGAGGGGACTTGCTTGAGACCACAGAGGGCACGTTGTAGTTTGCAAACCTTATGAGTTGGATAGGTAGACCTAGGGGGAGGTTGCATGTAGACCTCCTCAAGAAGATTATCATTAAGGAAAGCATTTTTGACATCCATCTGAAAGAGCTCTTAGTGGCGAGCAGAAGCAGCAACAACAGCAAGCAAACTGCGAACAGAGGTAAGCCAAGCAATAGGGGAGAAGGTCTCCTCATAATTAATGCCATATTTTTTGTTGAAACCCTTTGCAACAAGACTAGCTTTGTAACGTTCAATAGAGCCATCAGAATGAGTCTTGATTTTGTAAACCCATTTGCAGCCAATCGCAGTCTTGCCAGGAGGAAGATCAACAACATTCCAAGTATGAGTTTTGTCCAAAGCCTGGAGTTCATCAGTCATAGCTTGCTGCCAAAGAGGATTAGTACAAGCCTCAAGATAAGAGGTAGGTTTATAAGTAGAGAAGGCAGCAAACCCAACAATATAATCACGAAGATGAATAGGTGGTTGAGTTACCCGATGTGGTCGACCCGTGGGAGGATCTGTGAGAGGAAGAGCTGGTGTAGAAGGAGGAGACGAACTAGGTGGCGCAATGAGAGGTGGACCATTAGGGAGAGAAATCGGGACGGGATTAGGGGTCAACAAGGGCGTCTCGATGATAAAGGAACCTGTATCAAAGTCATTAGAGAAGAGATCTAGGGAAGGATTAGTAAACAGGATGGTAGTGGAGAGTGCGGGTAAGTGAAAGGAGGATAGGGCGGAAAACATTTTGTGCTCCCAGAAAACTACATGTCGGGAGATACGAAGACGCTTAGAGAGAGGATCCCAACAGCGAAAGCCTTTATGTTCAATCCCATATCCAAGAAAAGCAGTAAAGACGAGAACGAGGTTCAAGCTTGGTGTGTTCATGGGATTAAAGCAGAACAAAGCAGGCAGGGCCAAAAATCCGAAGGTTGGTGTATGGAGGGAGAGTGCCATGCAGACGTTCAAAGGGAGTTTGATTATTGATGACAGGAGTATGAACACAATTGATAGTGTATACAGTAGTAAAAGCAGCTTCCCCCCAAAAGTTTTCAGGGCAGGAAGAAGAGAGAAGGAGAGCGCGAGTAGTGTCAAGAATATGCCGATGTTTCCGTTCAGCATGGCCATTTTGTTGGGACGTGCCAGCACAACAACGATGCGGCTGTGTACCATGACTCTAAAGAAAGGAAAGAAAATCGGAATCCCGATATTCCATAGCATTGTCAAAGCGAAAAATTTTAATGGTCTTTCAAAATTGGGTGTGGACCATTTTGGCAAATCTATAATAAATGTGTTTAAGTTCAGACCGAGTTTTCATGAGAAAAAACCAAGTAAACCGGGAAAAATCATCAATAAAAACAACAAAATAACGAGATCCCCCCATGGTAGTAATAGGGAATGGGCCCCAAATATCCGAATGTATAAGATCAAAAGGTGCATTGGAAACAGAAGTACTTTTATTGAATGATAAAGCAGGTTGTTTTGCAAGTTGACAGGGTATACAATCAAAAGTATCTGGAAGTACATGACCTAATTGAATACTAAAAACCAAAGACTTTAAGCGACTAACAGAAATATGCTCTAAGCGACAATGCCAAAGATGAAAAGGAGACAATGAGGAAGCAGATGCAGGAGCAGCGATCTGTGGGAAGTCAGGAACATGAAGGTGAATGAGTTCATAGAGACGTCCATGCTTATGGCTGATCCCAACAGTCTGCCCCGTCTAAGGGTCCTGCACCAAACAATCATTAGCAGAAAATGTGACAGTTAGACCAAGCTCACATAATTTACCAATAGAAATAAGATTTAAGGTTAGAGCAGGGATATGATAAACTTGAGGTAAAAATAAAGGAGATATGGAAACAGTACCAATATGACTGACAGACATGAGAGAACCATCAGCAGTATAAATGGATGAAATATGAGTAGTAGGAGAAGTCAAAATACCAAGAAGAGTTACCTGGAGTCACAAACAAAACAGTAGGAGGAGGTGTACTAGAGGTGGAGAGAAACTGTTTGAACATGGCCTCTACATCAATTTGAGAAAAAAGAGGGGTAGACAGAGCAGGAGACTCAGAGAAATCCTCAGAGGCAGCAGCAGCAGTGCGATGAGTAGGA